TACCCATATCATTCAACCTATCTGTTGTTCCGTCAGTGATATGAACCAAGTCACTGTACTTGGACGATGCATTCTCATAAACGTACCACACTGCGAACCCCTATAAAAAAGTGAATCCTTACAAAACCTGAGGCATCTCTCACCTGCTCATGCACGGGGTCACCTCCTATCGCTGGTGACTTCAATGCTAATGTAAACTCTATCTCAAAGTTGTTAGTGTGGAGGGGATACCTATAACACGATTGAAACGTGTCAAGCTTCGTATCCATCCGACTTATGCCACAGCGCGGCGTATCGATCGGAGGCTCTGGGCGAGAGCGCGATGTGGTTATGGAGTGGTATGCAAGTACCACTGGCATCCCATCTTGAGGTGAATTTATGGAAATCCATCTCCTGAAGTACGACAAATGACTTCATAGAAATACGAATATGATTCTCAACGAACTGAGCTCGAGCCAACAACGACGTCCCAGTAAATGAAAAATTCCACTAAAAACTTCTGGCCGCTACAACACGTTCACATTGGCACTAAACGATCAAGGAACCTATAATGTTTCCGGGGGTTACTCGTTTTAGACTTCCTACATGGTTAGGAACACACTACAATCAGTTTCCCGTGTAATTTCCACATGAGGAGCATTTCCCCCCTATTGTTATCAAACCCTGGGTAACGTAATTTCTCAAAACTAGATGGAGCTCTGATGCATATACGTTTATGCGACATCTAGCATATGTTCCGGTTTGTATAGGTAAAACGGTGTGGGAGAATATGCATATGGTCAGCCACATATGTTGATGAGAACACGAAAATTCTGAGGAAATTTCGGCATATTCTCATTGATTCCTATACATTTCTGCCCGAATCAGCATATAAACTCCTATAAACTCTGAGAAAACTCCTGAGCTCAGATGAGGAAAGTGACCACATAGTCCAATACTAGGATAGATCATAGATGCAGGGGGATTGGTAATAACTAAAGGCGACTCCCCTCAACGACCAACCCCATTCTGTAGAGGACTCAAATACAACCAATCCAATTCAATTGCGACCGACCGTAAAAAGTCCCAACACGCAGAGAACAAACTTTTCACCATACGCCACAACACGAGTAATTAATACTTGCTAACCTTGAGGTCTAATCGTCTGTCACCCTCCTCACCTGTGTGAAGGAATGCAACTCCACCTTCCTCCCCTCAGCAATAACGCCACCCAACAACGATCCGCAGAGCACAGCAATAGTCAGTGGCACTCCAGGGAAGAGCCTGTCGTGATGACGGTACATTGAACCCAAAAACTAATACTATACCGACAAACTCATAAAGTGTTGTGAGACTAACTCAAGATAGAGAGGACAACGATACTGTCATGACGATACGCATCTACTCTTGGTGACGTTGGGGCTCAACCCGTAGTCGTTATTATAGACAATGACTTACACTATCGCAAGAGGTTACTCTCACTCCTCAGCT